CGAGCGTTTCGTTATTTTATCTCTCCTTTAAGGCAATGCTGACCATGACTGTTTTACCGACTTTGAGTTCAAGGACTTTTCTTTTTATTGATATACAATTAAAGTACCGATAATAATGAACGGGGAGCGCTGTAATGTATAAAAAAACAATAAAAGTTAAAAAAATTACAGTTTTTTTATCGACCTCTTGCTCATAAAAATACTTATTTAATACAAAAGTTCTGCAGTTTATTTGTGCACAAAATATGGCGCTCCCAATAGATATAGATGACATGAAAGAATAATACAGAAATAATAAAAATGAGATTAAAACCTGTATCAAAAGATTCGTACTTGAATTAATTAGGTATGTATATTTGCGTGTGGAATCGATGTCGAGGCATAAAACAGCAAAAATTAATTGCCGGACAGCGCTCTCCATTCATTATTATCAGTACTTCATTGGGAGGATTTTTCAATTTGTATATTTAATAAAAAAAAGCATCCCTTTTCATATGCAGCGTGCTGCAGCAGCGAATCAGTCACGTGATCAAAATTTATTAGAGAAAATTCATTATTTAATATAATAATAATAATAATAATTAAAATCAAACTATGCACGGAGAGAATTTTCTCTTAAAATTTAATTATCCTGAAAATCATGGTAATTGTGCGACAATATGGCATTGGAAGACTCTTATAAGAGTTTCTCTGATTAATATATTTACCACAAAAAATATTAATATGTACATAGTAATATTTTTATTGTGATAACTATTAATTGGAGAAACTCTTATAACATTCTTTCAGTACAATAATGTTGCACGATTATCATGATTTTCAGGGTAAATTCTAAGAGAAAATTCTCTCTGTGCTTGTTTAATTGAACCTCATCAATAGCAACAAATTGCTGCGTCAGCATGCTACATATGAAATGGTACCTTTAGAGATAAAAAACGCGGAAAAATATTTTGTATAGATGATAAAAAAATGATGTCGTAGTTTTGTGAAGAAATTTCGTCGAAAAAGGTACAATTGGGGGCTCTCTAAATTATCATACGTATACATATACTTGGCGAGAAGAAGCTGATGAAAGTTTGCGTGTAAAGTATACGTGTGCATCGCGCGTTTCGCAAAGTTTTGAGGTGGCGAGCGAGGATATAACGAGGTTACGAAAGCGCGCCACGTAATGAATGCCAACGAGTCGGGAAATATTGTTTCATCCTTCTCGTCCTTTTCGCGGAGAGAAGAAAGAGGGAGAGAGGAATTCCGCCGGGTTTACTCTCTTAATTTGTTTGTAGAACGCACGAGCTCTCCTCCTCGTCGTCGAGTTCCTTAACTCGACGAATCTCGCTTATAAAACGTAAAAATGTATATATATGAGACTATAGTTGCCACACGCGTATCGCACGACTCTGTCTCCCTTTCTCTCTCACTCTCTATGGAAATAAAATATATGAAGGGATAAATAAACTTGCGCGTGCACACGCGAGAAGAGTCGCGAGCCGAATGATCGCCATAAAACACGCCGCGACGACGTATTCGACGTCGTAATAAATTATTGCTCGTTAACGAATCGATGTTACATTCCTCCCCCTGGAGCGATAATTAACGACGTAAAGGCAATTATTATCGCGCGGGGAGGACCGGCGGTTAATTTATAAATCATTCCCCCGGTTCCAATCACGCAGATGTTGCCCGCGACCTCGAAACCAAGAGGATTTATTTATCTCGGGACAATCGAGCGCGAGATTCGTTAACGGCGCCAACAACGGCGCGATAATTTCTCGGAAGATCCGATCATTTTATCGTATACCACACGGACAAAACTAGATCGCCGACGATAAATCTCGTTCGTGAGATTTAAAGCTCGAGCAGATACTCGTGCTCGCATGCTCCCTTCTTTCTCTTTTTTTTTCTTTCCGTCTTTCTCGTCGCGAACGCGCATCTTAATTCAATTTTCTTCGAATGAGTCTCTCGATCAGCTCGAAAAATCCGCGACCGCGATTGTCTTGACTTTTTTATGTCTACTCAGCATGTCATGTGACCTGGACAGATCAAATAAATTTTTCTTTGGAAAATACTGATAATTAATGACTCCTTATTTCCCTTAGTTATACGTTCTATTGCTTTAGATAAGAAGAAGAGCATCATTTTTAAATTAAATTTCGAAAAATCCGCAAATGCGATTGTCTCGATTTTTGGCGGAGAGTCTCGTTAAATCTATATGTCTACCTGGAATGCCATATATGACTTGGACAGATCAAATAAATTTCTTTGGAAAATACTAGCAATTATTGATTCCTTATTTCCCTTAGTTGTGTTCTATTTAAATAAGAAAAACATCACTTTTAAATTGAATTTTGGAAAATCCGCAAACGTAATTGTCTCAATTTTTTAATCTCGTTAAATCTATATTTATTCAGCATATCACGTGACTTGGACAGATCAAATAAATTTTTCTTTGCAAAATACTGACAATTATTGACTCCTCATTTCCTTTAGTTGCGTTCTATGTAGATAAATTACAAAAAGCATTAGTTTTAAATTAAATTTTGAATAAAGCTTTTTGCGATCAACAGAAAGTCATCCGTTTTCATTTACAGATACGGATCGACGTATATGGAAAAAAGCAGGGATAAATAAAGAGAGAGAAGCTATAGGGCACCGAATCGATTTCTCCCGTCTTCCATACGCATATAAATGTAGTTTGCGTAGCTTATGGCGCACGTAGAGCGGAATCCATGTAAACATTACGTGCGTGGTGTGTAACCCGTGTATAATTTTGCCTACGTAAGTTTACCTCCGGCGAAAAGCTACCAGGTAAGAACCACCGAGGAACGAAATGGACCGTAATGTTCGACGAGCGCAATAAAAGGCTAAAGCTTCATCGGAAGAGAATAAGAACGCGAGTTCGTGGGAGGAGGAACACGCAATGTCGAGGGCCTCGTCGAGCAAAGCTCTTTTGCGAAAAAAAAAAGAAAAAATTAACGAGAGGGAAACATATCGAGACATGGATAACGATACAAATGTCGAGCGAGAAAAAATAGAACATAAAACAACGCAAGAAAATATTTACGAACTGGAAAACAAAAGTATAAGGGATCTCTTGTATAATTCTCCAGATGTTTCAATGTGCTGTCGAATAAAAATGAGAGGGAACATTTTCTCGAGTTGCAAGTTAGTTTTATGAAACAGAGACGGCTCTGCTAAATAATTCTATACGCGAGAAAATGTTTTTCAGTCGAGAAAAATCGACGAAGGCGGATGAAGAAGAGAATGATGAAGTTTTACGCCGTTAATATAGTTGGCGGCTCGAAGGAGAGAGAGAAAGAGAGATGAGGTCTGCTCGTAAATTATCGCAAACTTATTATTGGACGCGTTCTATTACCGCGGCGATCTCGACAGTTTAGTTTACTCGCAAAAGTTGGCGCGCGGGATAAAAAGAAATAGACGACGACGACCGGCCGGCCGTCTCTCTCCCGTTAAGTCCCGGGAGAGTCGAGGGTGAACTCTCGGCACTCGCGGCAGAGAGAGAGAGAGGCGAGGCTTCTAATTAATTGAAGAAATAATTAAAACGTACGTGCCAACGGCAGGCGCGGTCGCGTCAAGGCGCGAGAGCTCTTTCCATTCCGCGATATCAGCCACCGCTTAATTGCGTAACCGCCAAGATTCGCGCGTTCTGAATTCGTCAAGAGGAACTCAACATGTAATACATGCAAGTTTTAATCGATTTGCCAGGAAATATTACACTTTTCTAATATTACTCATCTTTATAAATATTAACATCAGCGCAGGACTGTAGGATGTGTCATTGTTGACACTTTTCAGAATAAATTCATATTAAGTGTTATCGATAAAAATATATAGTCTAGAAATACACTTTTAATTACAGCAACATGCACCACAATATTGGCTTAATTTATGAAAATGGGAAAATGAAAAAAATGGTCAAAATAAATAAAAAATATTAATATGTACATAGTAAAATTAATCGAACATATGTTATATCTTGTTGTGGTAGATATTCATATTTTATTGTGATAAAAATATTAATCAGAGAAACTATTATAAAATTCTTCCAATATCATATATTGGCCCAGGATTATTATGATTTTCAGAATAAATTCTAAGAGAAAATCCTCTCTGCGTACAATTCGAAAAAATTCAACTCGAGTGCGATTCTATATGCTGCATTACTTATTTTTATATACAGAGTGTTTCAGGAGGGTGTTTTAATATTCTAGATTCTAAGATATGATTGTACACATCATTTTATTCAACAAAAAAGTTTATATAATTATCTATCCTAAACTGTTATAAAGATACAGCGTGTTTAATCTTAAGAACGAATACATTCATTAATTTAATACAACCGAATTCAATGAACAAATTACATTTTTTCATCATTTCTTATTATGAGTGTAAACATTAGACGTTTAATAAGTTGATGTTAGTTTGAAATTTTTGATTTCTAATATAATTAAAATGTGTTCACTTATATCAAACTTAATATTAATTAATTTATGTTGTACTATTATTGTAAACTTAAAATTTAATGTTATTGTTTCATAAAATATAATTCTATCAAAATTAATAATGTATTCGTTTTCAAAATTGAACACCGTATCGTTATAATCATCCAGAATAGGATATGTGTATATAAACTTTTTTTTAAAATAATGCATACAATACAAGAATCACATGACCTAGAATGTTAACCACTCCTGAAACTCTGTATATAATCTATTTTTATACATTATGTAATTTAAATTTTCTATCTCCAATTATGTTCTGATGTCGCAAAGAATAGAATTTAGTTTTATAGAAATCCCATTCGAGTTCTTCGGTATTTCCTTTTCAGCGCGCTAATCATCGTCATGAAAATAAATGGAGGGTCGCGTGTTATCAGCGCGATCGATAGCAACCGGAGGGATACTCCTCTAGAGAAGAGCTCGATCAGTACATAGGTATATCTCTTTCCAGCTCGCAGGTACAATTTTTGTGAAGAAATGACTTACCTGTCGATGTATCCGTCGCCGTCGCCGTCGCAGGCCTGGAATAGCTTCCGGACGCGTTCCTCGTCGCAAATGGAGCCCGTCTCGCTTTCGGCATCCGCGGTCTGCGACATCTTCTCACTGGGGATGCTCGGGCTCGGCCGTCGTCATCGGTATTCTTCCCGCCGATCGGTGCCATCCGTCGTCGCTCGCCTCGTCACATTCGCGCCCGATCGCCCGCCGCGTGCCGAATCTTAATTCGCGCCCGCGCGGAGAGATCGATGCTCTCGCGGCCGCCGTCGACGCGCTTCTATCTCGCGCCGACACGCGACGACGCGTGCCGCACGCACGGCATCGTCGCGAGTATTATGTCACAAAAACTCGCTCCGAAATCCTGCAAGAGAAACGTCATCAAATATCAGTCTTTTTCGCGCCATAACAAATATTTATACTTTATTCGTGAAAAAGATCCTCCAGAGATTTTTCTCTGGATTTTCACTAAATATGTAATATTATATATGTAATATTATATGTAATATTATACGTAATATATATAAATATATGCACTATATTATATGCAATATTATATGTAATGTTATATGTAATATATATATGTAATACTACATGTAATATTATATGTAATATATACAATACATATCGTATCATATGTAATATATATTATTACAATATAATATTATATGTAATATTATATGTAACATTATACATTATGTAATATTATATATTATATACATTAATTTAATTATTTAAAAATTGAAAAAGAAACTTTGACAGTTTGAAGTTGTCACAAAATTAAAATAATCGAACAGATAACAATTACGATATATCTCGATATATCGTGCCTCACTTCACTCACCTCACAGCTGCAAGTAGCAATTGACCCGATTGCCTCTGGACGAGAACCGGGAGTCGGACATTCGATCGAGCGCGTGTCAACGGCACGCGGGACTCGGGTCGACGACAGATCCCTCGGTCGCGAGGAACATTCCGGTCGGACGTGCTCGGCGACGTACGGAGGGACTATCGCGGCACGCGTTCCATCCTCGTGTCATCGGCGCGGATCTTCGTCGTCGGAATTCCGGAGAACGATATTCCTCTCTCTTTCTTTCTTTCTCCTCCGCGCGAACGGAATTCGTTCGTCGACGCGGTAGGCGCCGCCGCCGTTCTATTTTTGGACGCGCTCGGATGCCACCCGCGATCTCGCGCCTCCGATCGTGTATGCGCGGGATATAAACAGATATATCCGTTAACAGGAAATCGCGCACGACTCGCTGTTTACTTCCGATTGGTACATCTCGGTTCGCGCAACTCGCGACGAATTATCGTTCGACGCTTTATTCGAGTTCGCCAAATGTGTCGCGATTCTCTTACGCAACGCGATAATTCACCACCCGCGTTCACTGTCAACGAGTCACTAACCTAACCCTAACCTCAAAACCGGAGCCGCGACTATGACCCTACCCCCGACCGTGACTGATAAAAACTATCGATTGAGTTCGTCGCGGTCGAAAACCTCCGCTCGGCCGATCGCGGCGCCATCTAGCGTGGCGCGATTAAGTTACGTAAACGAAGTGCTCCGCGGATAAGTACAAGTGCAGTCGGTAAATAATGGTAGTGATATATATGTATAAATTAAAAAAAAAAATGCCTTTTCGTCATAGCAAAATTATTTACAATTAATTCTGCAATATAAAATTCGTGAAAAAGATCCTCCGGGAATTTTTCTCTGGATTAAATAAACTCCCACAGTATATTATATATAATATATTAATTTTTAAAATATATTATTTTTAAAAATGTCTATTTCAAAAATAATATGTTTTATATATATCTTAATATATCTTATAATATATCTTAATATATTTTAAATAGTTTCCTGTTTTTCATTTAATTCTTCGTTTATCGAGTATCTCGAAAATCTCTTGAAAGCAGATGCTCTTATATTCGTTTATTTCTCGTACACACAATTAAAATAACAGATTTATTGCAGCAAATATTTGACACATGTATTGCGTTCAATATATAAACGGCGCGATAAAACATAATATATTGCGCAACGCAGTAAGAGCATCTTTTTCTTGCTTTTATTACATGCAATAAAAATATGACGATTTACGAACCGCAATAACAATCCGGCAACAATCCAACATTTTTATTGAGCCAAATTAGTCAGCGGCTTTAAGTTTCTCGTTTAACGTAAGCAACAGCTTCTTCAGCTTCGCTACGTCGTAGCTGAAAGCCCACATGATGCACCGCGTGTGCTCCACGGTGGGCAAATCTCGAAATTTGGCGTCCGTATCGAACCATTGAACAAGGTTCTTCTTTATACGACCTACCAATTCTCGTAGGTGCTCATTCCTTTTTACGTCCCACGTAACATCCGATTGCGGAACTCGGACGGATCTGAGTTTCTTGTAATCGCCGTCCGCCTTTTCGTAGACTCTGCAAAATTAAATTACAATTTCTCATATTTTTATCCTTTATTAATATTTTGATCAATCGAAATAATGAGACTCACTCGAGGAAGCCGTTGTCTTCGATGCCGTATCGTTCGGCTAGAGGCTTAAAGGCTCGCACGATGTCGATCGCCAGATAATTGAAGTTCTCCTTCGACCGGCCGTTCACATTGTAATCGGTGATCCAGTTCTCAAAGACTTCCACAGCTTCCGTCATATTCTTGATCTTCTGCTTATCCTTCGTGCACGATATCACTCTCTCGGCTCGCTTTACCAGACCGCTGATCGCATGAAACTGATACGATATATCTCTGCCCTCCAAAGACTTGATGCTCAGCAAAGCCTTCTCCTTATCCTTGAAACTCAGCGCGCTCTCCGATTTTTCGTTCCGCTGGCTCTCTTCAGCTTCCGGTGAACGTTTCGCAAACTTTTTCTCCGGCTCGCTATCGCTGCTCGACGAGCCATCGCGAGCTCTCTTAGAACCTCGATATTCCTCCTCCATGTCCACCTCGTTATTCGAATTATCGCCGAATTTTTCGCGTACCTGAGTCACCAATTTCTTCAACTTTGCGGAATCGGGACTGTACGCGAGCACGATGCATCGCGCGTGTTCCTTCGTCGGCAATCCCCGAAGATCACCCACGTCCGTCTCGTACCATTGGACGTGCTCGTCCTTGATCTTGCCGATAATCTCCTTCAAGCGCCTGTTTCTCTCAATGTCCCACGTGATGTCTCCGCCAGGTACTTTCGCCGTTCGCAGGCCCTTGTAATCGCCCTTCTCGCTCTTGTACGCCCTAATAAAAATCTATATTATCGAAACGTCTCATCTTTATAAAAAAAAAAAAAAAGTACACGTTCTTACCTGAAGAACTCGTCGTTCCACACATCGTACTTCCTCGCGAGACCACGAAAGGCCTCGATTGTTTCGATCGGCAAATACGCAAGGTTCTCTTTTCCCCGATTACTCTGTTTGTAATCCGTCAGCCAGTCCTCGAAGATTTTCAGGGAGTCTCGCAGATTCGCCAGCTTCTCTTCGTCCCGCGTGATCTGCAAAGTTCTTTTCGCACGACTGACGAAGCTCGTGATTACGTGATACTGATAACTGATGTCGCGGCCATCCAGAGCCCTCAGGGTATCCAATGCTTTCTGCTTGTCCTTGAAACCCATGGCTCCTGCAATTTCTCCTGCTCGGCGGATTTCGACTTGGCCATTTTAAATCTATATATATGCGGAAATCATCTCGAAATAAATTTTAATTTTCAGCAAATGTGATATACAAAATAAAAGAAACATGTCGCAAATATGTGTATCATCTATACTCCATCACATGAATATTAATGAATAGTCGAAATAGATTTCTATCGATTTTGGAGTAACATCGTTATGCTTTTATTTGCTGTTAATTGCTTCATCGCTTCCGATTATCGCCGATTTGGAATTCAATAAGAACATGGAAATGGTAAATTACGCGTTTAACGGCATTTGACATTGCCGCAAAGTTAAGTTTTCGGGAAACTGGCAATGTTCATGAAGCGATCGATTCAAAGCGGCGCAGCCAATCATCAGGAGAGAACGCGCTCGGAGGCGGAGAAACAGTCAATCAGAATGCGAAGCGCGTATGTCAGTTTTATCGTTGACGTAGTCCTCGGAATTATGGAAGCTGTTACGTGGAAAGGATCAATACCTATCCGGCAAATGGTTTAATCGTTTATATTTGGCAACCTTAGCAATTATAAGTGCGACATTCTTCTCTGGTACACGTTTTTCAATTTAACGTTCAATGTTAAAATTTTAGCTACGTGAAATTTTTCAAGTCGGAAATTTTATTTCGAATATTGCGCTCGACACATGTGTTTAATGATATTTTATCTCACCAGTTATTTTACATTAAAATGTGTAACTAGAATTTATATTCAAATTTATAAAAAATACGGAACAATTAAAAAAATACTTACGAATAATTTGTTTGAATACAGCTCTAATTATACAAATTAATCACACAGTATTATCTCAAATTGTGCACTTTAGCCGTTAATCGTCATCAGTATTATTATCACTCGTACGAATCTAAGATGATGTTGACGTTGTCGCTGCCACTCGCAAAGTGTGTCTAGTAGGTTTCGGATCGCAAGGTTGACGAGCCGGCTTAAGTCATCGGTTATACTTATTCAGCGAAACTTTGTCGCGTGTTGAGGAGAAGGATGGCCAACGGTGTGAACAAGGGAAAGCGAGAGGTCGATATAAACATGTTCGATTCATGTCATCAGAGCCCGAAATACACGGGCAATCGCACGCTTACGTCATATGCGCATCGTCGAGAACGCGTAAAGAGGATGATCCATATGCTATGATCCTAATGTTTATTGATTTTTCCGAATCGAGCTATTTTGTAACGTTCGTGTTATTTTCCACAACTGTGCTTTCTGCATTTTATTTGTTAGTTCTTATTCTTTTGGATATCACGCTTTTTGGAATGGTCTTGTGTTTCAAAGTCACATTTAGTCTAATTTATGGAAATCCATGAATTGTTAATGTATGTCGAGCGCTGTAATTAAAAAGACACAAGTCATATAATTTGTATTTCCGATAATTTTCCTATTGAGATAAAGATAATTTATTTTATATTTATAAAATAAATTACAACCGCGATAAACTACTGGAACACGCGCACAGTAACAATCAGAGATAACGCTTACACGCGAATCGAAATTCGCATTGAAACAGATTTATTAGTCTATCTCCGATGATAATTCAGCACGTAAAAATAAGTTAATATTTACAAGATATACCACACATATACGTTCAGACGGCGTTGCTCTTCCGTCTCGAGGAACGTCAAATAGGGATCGACGGGAAATCTCCCTTCGAATAATATGCAAACAACAGATTCGATCACATTTATTTAACAGACGCAGCTTCCGACGCCGAGACACGTGTACGGCGCTTGCTCAATTTTCGAGCTCGCCGCGCCGTCCAGTATCGAGGATTGCGCGGAGGTTGTGGCCGGTAATTGTGATCTCTGCATGCTTTCGTAGGGTATCGAAGCACCCTCCCGATCTCTGCCGGTACTCTCCGTTTCCTGGGTATACGAATCCCTCGGTGGAGCTTCCTGCGTCTTCGAATCGAAAGCCGGCTCGTGCGAAGACAATCGACTGTAGTTCAGAAAAGTCTCTGTATAGCTCGGGGGCGGATGATGATGGTGATGATGATGATTGCTACCGTACTGATGGGAATAATGAGGATGATATCTACTCGGTGGTGTTTTGAAGCCCTCGTTACCGCCGAGATATTGGTGCAAATGATGAAGACCGGAAGGTCCATACACTACAAATAAAATATAACAGTAGTAAATGTTATTTATTAATTTTTAAAAAGATATATATATATATATATATGTATTTAAATGCTAATAAATGAAAAACGAATACATTAATAAAGCGTGGTATTTTGCCTAACCTGCGGCGGTGTTTGAGTACATAGCGAAAACCGCGTCGCTATATCCCGCGGCAGGATGCTTCATCAAATCTGGAACTTCGTTCCCGCCCGCCCTTTCCCGGGCGTCGCGTGACTTCGTACCATACTACTAGGAACTTCTCCGCTAATCCCCGAAGACGCGCCGGTGCCGTACGCCATATTGAAGAGCGCTTCCGGATCGCAGACAAACTTGTACACGTATCGCTCGCCGGCGACCTTTTGCATTATTCCTTTCTCGTAGTAGTATCTCAACGAACGACTCAACTTGTCGTAATTCATGGCCGGTCTGTTTTTCTGGACGCCCCATCTGCGTGCCACCTGTCAAAAGAAAATATGATAAAGAAGCAATTTCCACTAAAATCTCAGAATATCTCTCCCCGTGTCTGATAGCGAGTTCAATTGGATGCACTATAATGCGCACTGAATACATATAAAGGTTTATCGCACACAAGTAATTAAAAAAGGATAATAATTAAAAGTAAGACCCATTATTATTATTATTATTGTTCAATATGTGAATAATGACAATAATAGCTCTTACTATTAAGTATTTTACTTACTTGTGTCATTGTGAATTTGTGTGCGATAAACTCTTTTATATGCACTCGGTGCGCACTAGTGCATCCAACCGAATTCGCTACGAGTTATATTTTAATGCATTTGTTTTATTCAATTAAAAATTAGAAAAGATAGTTACACGAAGAAGATTAGAAAATTGTAAAATTAAAAAATAAATAAGCGCCCCAGCAAACACAGTATATAAATGTTATATACTCAAGCATGTTACATGTAACGTATATGTTAGTTGTAATTTCCCACTCATAGATGTAACATTTTTAATATTACATATATTACATTGTAGTTATATTGTCATTATATCCCAAGATAGCACTGACTTATCAATACATCAATGTGCTATTTGGTATATAATTACAATATAACTACAATGTAATATATGTTATATTAAAATGTTACATCTATGAGTGGGAAATTACAACTAACATGAATACATGTAACGTACACGTTATATTACCTGTTATATTCCGTTTTATTACAGCAATGTAACAATTATATATCGGTGTTTGCTGGGGCATAAAGTATTCTCAACTTTTTCTACGAACCTCTTCCGGCTCGATCAGCTTGAACTCCATCCCGCGCCCGGTCCACGCGATGCAAGGTGCATTCGCAGGATCGTCGAGCAAGGCTACCAGGAACTGCCACAATTGTAGCGAGCCGCGTCGTTGTTGCTGGTAACCGACAGCAACGTCGCTCCAGGTGGGCACACCGGTCGCCGACGACGGCCTCTTGTTCACGTGATCCGGATTCCAGGTTGAAACCGGCGAGCCCTTCTTCTGGTAACAACCGTTCTGCCGTTCCCAGGACGAGTTTCTGGGGTCCAGCTGCGTGCCCAGCTCCGTCCAGGTCGGCGTGCCGCTTCGTTTCGCGTAAACCTCGGAATTCCAGTTCTCCGGTCGCGGAAGAAAGGTTTCGGAGGAAACGGAGAAGGTCGATTGCCACTGGGAGGTCGAGGAAGAAGCGCTGGCCGGACGACTGGACGATGGTGACGAACCTCTGGGATGATCCCTCGTGACGTTTCCGTACTGTTGCTGCTGACGTTGCTGATAAATTAAAGTGCTTGCTGTAACAAAACGCAGCGTAATTGTAGACATTGATTATTGTGTCGAAGATTGGATTTTAAATTAAAATCATGTATAGAATATCTCGTCGAGTGTTTAATAGAATGTCTTCAAACCGATAATACAATCGAAAGGGAAATCATTTTTATGCGTGTCACATGTCAATCATCTATATTAAGACATGCATAAAAAACATAATATTTCATTCAACAGCAATTTATTATAAAGTCCTTTAAGTTATTTAAGTAACTAAAAAAATGTTATTAAATTCTCAATTTTCCAAATTGTTTCCCCCTTCTTCAATCATATTAATCAATTCCAAGATAGTCTACATTCGCGCAACACCCATGCCTGATCCTACAACGTTCAATTCCTACTCTTTTACGCGAATGATATACAATTATAAAAATGCCACAATAAAATAATCTCCGCATTGAAAAGAGAGAATTATTGCTCCAGCGTATATACAAAGGATACTTCGTATTCCCGTAATCGTAATAAGAAGGCGTCGTGGTACAGAGAGGTAGAAGAGCACGGGATTATCCGCGGGGCGTTTTTATCCGCACAGAGGAAGAGGAGGAATTCTCTCGAGAGGAAAAAAAAAAGAAAAAAAAGAGCACTCTCTCCCCGTATTACCGATTGCACTCACGCGCCGGGCCGGTTGAAGCGCTCTCGTCACACAAATATCGGCAGGAAATTGGTGGATATTCAAAGCCCAGCGGGGACTTCCCTGCTCGCGTGCCCCCTGAAATATCGAAAGCCGAGCCGAAGAGCTCGCGCGATATGTATATTAATCGGGCCGCACTCCTCTCTCTTTCTCTTGCCGGCGCCGCCGCCACCGAAAGAGCCATTCTCGGCTCGTAATCCGGTTACGCTCCAAGTCGCGCACGGGGAATATTGAAAAATTGAGAAGCCGCGCGAGCGGTCAGAGAGAGAGAGAGCGACGATAAAACGTTGTTGCAACGACGACGTCCCCGATGCATCCGCGACGCTCGAGGGTGAGCTGGATCGAAGGGGTCGACGATTTTCAGGAGGGTCGGGTTTCTCCAGGAACTCATCTTCCCTCGAAGATGAAGACAGGCACGAGGAATTTTAATTCGCGAATTAAACGTTTGCATTCTCTTCCAGCATTAATGAACCTTTTCAAGTATCTAAGTGGACAATAATAAGAATATTAAGTCGGCTCCTTAAATTTTAAAAACACAATATACACCTCCTTCATCTCGGCCAATAGAGCCACACGCGATGTTATTGCAATAGGTGGTGTATATTGTGTTTTTAAAATTTAAGGAGCCGACTTAATATTCTTATTATTGTCCTCTTAGATACTTGAAAAGGTTCATCAACTAAACGATGAGTCGACTCGATTCCTTTCCAGATTTAACATTTCCTCTTAGATACAATATACACCTCCTTCATCTCGACCAATAGAGCCACACGCGATGTTATTGCAATAGGTGGTGTATATTGTGTTTTTAAAATTTAAGGAGCCGACTTAATATTCTTATTATTATCCTCTTAGATACTTGAAAAGGTTCATCAACTAAACGATGAGTCGACTCGATTCCTTTCCAGATTTAACATTTCCTCTTAGATACAATATACACCTCCTTCATCTCGGCCAATAGAGCCACACGCGATGTTATTGCAATAGGTGGTGTATATTGTGTTTTTAAAATTTAAGGAGCCGACTTAATATTCTTATTATTGTCCTCTTAGATACTTGAAAAGGTTCATCAACTAAACGATGAGTCGACTCGATTCCTTTCCAGATTTAACATTTCCTCTTAGATACAATATACACCTCCTTCATCTCGGCCAATAGAGCCACACGCGATGTTATTGCAATAGGTGGTGTATATTGTGTTTTAAAATTAAGGAGCCGACTTAATATTCTTATTATTGTCCTCTTAGATACTGAAAAGGTTCATCAACTAAACGATGAGTCGACTCGGATTTAACATTTCCTCTTAGATACAATATACACCTCCTTCATCTCGGTCAATAGAGCCATACGCGATGTTATTGCAATAAGGAGGTGTATATTGTATCTAAGAGGAAATGTTAAATCTGGAAAGGAATCGAGTCGGCTCATCGTTTAGTTTCACCTTTCGACGAACTTTGGGCGAAATCTCGGACTCGGATCTCAGAAGATAGCTCGAGAGCCCCGGACTCGATCTAGCACTCTCTCTCTCTCTCTCTCGAAAAGCGGATAGGGCGCCAGGGGATGACGAAAGGGGTTGACCTCAGCCTCGGCAGGGGTGAGCCAGAGGCTTTGCGGGTGGTTTTAGATTAAAATTAATCGCGAGCTGATGAAACCGGTGCAAGCGAGGCACCGCCGCCACCGAGGGAGGTTGGAGAAGGGTTGAAATTCAGGACTGGCCATAGGGGGCGGCAGTACGCGTTGGACAGGGTGGGATCGGCTACGGAAAAGAGAATGGCTTCCACTCTCGTCCACTCTCAGACGAGGAGAACTCTCTCTCTCTCACCGTCTCTCTCGCTTTTTCTCCTCTCTTCTGCCTCGCTGAGCCTCGAATTCCGGCATAGTGCTCCGTTAATAATGCAAGCTCTATTTTCCGACCCACCTGACGAGCGGCGAAACCTGAGCGGGCTCGCCTTGTCCTTTCCCGAGCGAACGGGAAATGCTCTCTTTTTTTTTTCTATTTTGGTTTTTGCATATTCCACTCTCTGTCGCACGTGTATTTTTGTTTGTTTTCTGCTGTAGAAAATATCCACTGCGACATCAAAGATGCGGGAAACGCGAATTTCGTTCAACGCGAATTTTCCGCTTTACATATACGTATATACGTACATTGCGCGTACGGGAAAGCGATTCTGTTGGCAGAATAGACCGCCGCTATCTGTAATCCTCGTAATCCTCTGCTCGTATTAATTAGTGCAACTGTGGAACCAATCGGTATCCATTAACCGGTTATTACTATTCCGCCCGTCGTATCGCTCTCCGAAATTGTTTGTCCCCTCTAAATAACGAGATAATCTCCAATATATTGCATACTTTTCTCTAAACATTTTCCAATCGGTCGAAATATTTAACAAATATTTTTTTCCAATTTCTCTCGTCGTCGTCTGTAAATACGATAATCAAATTTGCGAAATTTTATTCGACGAGTCTGCATGCAACGAAAGACTTGAAAAATATTCGATTTAATTTTCGCGCGCGATACGCCGAACGATTTCTCCTTTAAATAAATTGGATGATCGTAAGTAGATTGCGGGATATCGATACGAGCAAATGTATCCTATTATTAACCTAAACTACGTGTGAATAATTAATACGGCTTAATGGTAGGGAGAATTACGCCAAGAGAGAAGCATGAGCATAATCCCAGGTGACTTGGTAGTATCGCGTATACAGAGTGTCGAGCCATGGATATAACCGTAACCGAGCTCCTAAAGGATTCGGCTCGCTGTGTATGTATGCATGCGTGTATGTGTGTATGTGTGTGTGTGTGTGTGTGTGTGTGAATAAAGGAAGACTAATCGGTCTGATTACAAAGCATGAGCTTGCAACCCCTCGTTCTACCTCTACCTTTTGTAGGGTGGTAGTAGTAGTGACAGTGTGTATCTTCTTCGATTCACATCACCTATTAGGTAATGAACGTCGATAGAAAAACTATGTCATTATTATTATTCTCCCTGAAATATTATTCGCGCGATTTCTGCATTCATCCGTGCGAATAAATATTTATATGCGAGATTTAATTGTTGTAAACATTTAATCAGAGAAACTCTTATAAAATGCTTCCAATACTATATTGTCCTACGATTATTATCATGATTTAAAAAAAAAATCTATATTATTTTTCAAAGTTTTTCAAATCGCGTTTTCGAGTGAGTCCTAGATTAAAAGTCCTGAATTAATTCGTAGTTATTAAAAACATTGTTGATGCCACGTCAAAAATCTCTCTGTCTTACGCGAATCACGAGAGAATATGCATCAGCAATCTTTCTATGTCACATTTACACAGAGAGAATTTTCTCTTAGAGTTTATCCGGAAAATTATGGTAATCGTAGAACAATATATTATTTTGGAAGAATTTTATAAAAGCTTCTCTGATTAATATTTATTACACCACGATAAAAATATCGATATCTATCACAATAAGATATAAAATAGGTTCAATTAATTTTTTTAATATTTTTCATTTTGGTAAACATTTAATCAGAGAAGCTCTTATAAAATGCTTCCAATACTATATTGTCCTACGATTATTATCATAATTGAAAAAAAAATTTATTTTATTTTTCAAAGTTTTTCAATTCGCGTTTTCGAGCGAGTCCTAGATTAAAAGTCCTGAATTAATTCGTAGTTATTAAAAACATTGTTGATGCCACGTCAAAAATCTCTCTGTCTTACGCGAATCACGAGAGAATATTCGACTTAACATTTTTTCCCTCTGGGAAAACTAGCCTCGCCTTCTTTCTTTCTTTCTTTCGGTAGCTTTTGTTGGAATCTGCAAGACGCTCTCTCGCCATAGCTTTCGTCTTGAAAGCATCGTTTAATTATTCAATTACGCATGCTCAGTCACGCGTGAGCGGGTGCAACGCATTAGTTGGGAGCCTCGCAACGATCACGAGAAATGTTACATTTTATGGTATATCGCTACTCTCTCTTGTTCTCCCTTTCTTTTATCTATTTTTTTTAATAGTATAAAATAAATGAGAAAAATAGTATAGGTATATTAGTTACTTCAAAATAAAATATTTTATATATTTATCCCTTCGATAAAATCCTCCTTAAAAAATATTATATATTTTTCAATAATCGTAAAGAGAAAAAAAGTGTGAGCAACAATTAAGATAACGGCGTGGATCGAACATTATCGTCGATGTAGCTACGAGACCCTCAAAGGGCTAATCGGAAGTCGACTCGATTAATGGAGAGCGTAACCCCTCGTACCCCCGATTATTTATGGATTCCATGGGGTGGAATAGCGTGCCACGTGGATCCTTTTGTGCAGAGATTTGTCACGGCGCGGATCATCGTATAGAGAAGATAGTAACCATCAGCGATTCGCGTTCTCTTCTTCTCGACACATTCGACGTCCGTGAAAAATCTATCTAACGCAACTTGATGTTAGATGCAGATTAGATGAATTTCTTACCGTTCTGGGTGTCCTGAGATGTCGCGGATATGTTTGTCACCGGAAGTGGTTCCACGTAGCTTCGATCCGCCGGTTCCTCCTTCACGGCGACGTCCTTTGTGCTTTTATCAGCCGGTCCGTTTATCTTGCGATTTCTACGAATAATACGCAAAATTTCATTCTATACATTATAGACTCGTGGGACAGTTCAAGACAATTTTTTTTCTTATGAAGATTTTATCGTGCAGTCGCATATGCACCTCGAAATGCGTCATTATTGAATAGAAAAGTCGAGCACAGTTTCAGATTTTTTTTATCGAACTTACCCGAAGCAACGATCCGATCTGAGCTCGAGGAAATCGTTGTTTTGATTGTGCGCGACGGAAGATTGATACTGGGGGTGATAATTGCCATTGTCGCCATTTCTCGTGCAATTGCTAGACTCCTGCTTCACATTTGCACCTGACGCAAGTGAAACGACTATATAAATGTATTGCGATTTTAGTATATATTCTTCCATATGCAAATCATTTTTTTATTATATAGAAAAGGCGTGAAAATCACATTTTGTTTTTAACTAAAAGTACAGGACAAATTTTTGACTCAGAATTATTAGCAGTAATTCTTTATAAATTAGATTGCTCAATAAATATTGTTTGCCATTAAATAATTTGTTTTTAAAGCAAAAGGAAATTGTGATCAGAACTCGGTTTCCAAAACCGATACCTATTAGCTATGATAATTATAAAAACAGTAATAAAAATTATAAGAAAAAAGATAAAAGCAATAATACAATAAAACAGATTTAGAAAATTTACAATATATGTGACAGAATAACGAGATTTCATAAAAAAACTCCGCTACATATTATCGTTATTTAGATCACATAATTCGCCGAAGAGAATCTCACAGGAACAACTGTGCAACTTAGAAAACCCCTAAATGTAATCAAGTGAACATTTCTAAAGGAGCACAACAAATGTACAAACCGAGGGTATAAACTAATTATGGCAAACCAATCGATTCTTATTACTGAGAAGTAGGAACTATATCCTTATTTTTCATAGTTCCGCGCAACAATAAATGTCAAAATCTTAAAAACGTGTATTCGCTCGTCTATTGATTAAAACAAAATTTAGTATATAAAAAGGCCAATTAATCGAGCATTATTAGATGATATAAACTAAGTATTTATTCTATATAAGATAATACATTACAAACGTTTCGACCGCACGCGGTCTTCTTCAGTATAGGAATTAAAAGTAGATGATCATAAGTGATTGTAAGTCGCAATTTTATCGCCGAATTAGTGCATGTCGTGTTGAGTCAAATTACAAAACGTCAGTATATTTCTTACGGATTGATCGCTCTATTGAGATGTTTGGCCGATCCCATAGATTTCATCGTTAGTATGCCAGAAAATTATTGTTGTCATAACGCACTATGAGTAGTGAGATATAATAAATTAAAAATAGGAACGATATTATTTAATTCTATATTAAATTAATAAGAAAATTTTTTCTATAATAAATTTTTCTAGAATAAATTAATAAGAAAATTTTTATTTTATTTCCACAACGTTTCGACCATCTGACGTTTTGGTCCTTTTCAAGTGAAAAATTCCTTGATAAAAGCGCAGTTAGTTGACACTGTTGTCATGGTTATTAAACAATATGATTATCGGACTTTTTGTTTAAAATATTTTTAAAAATTTTCTTGCTAGTTTGGGTCGAATTAAATATATCGTTCCTATTTTAAATACCACTAGCGACGTTTTAAGTATTCAATTTGATTTTATAATAAATTAATAATGTGTCAAAATATAAAATTGGTCTTACGTGATCTGTGCGCTTACTGCGGCTAATAGGAAACGTTTGTATAATGTATTATTTTATATAGAATAAATACTTAGTTTATATCATCTAATAATGCTCGATTAGTTGGCCTTTTTATATACTAAATAAATGTCAATTTATTTGCGGAATGATTTTCAACATTTTTCGTCGATCGAATGCGCTTTGGCGCGCATAATTCGCCGAAGAGAATCTCACAGGAAAAACTGTGCAACTTAGAAAACCCCTAAATGTAATCAAGTGAACATTTCTAAAGGAGCACAACAAATGTACAAACCGAGCGTATAAACTAATTATGGCAAACCAATCGATTCTTATTGCTGAGAAGTAGGAACCATATCCTTATTTTTCATAGTTCCGCGCAACAATAAATGTCAAAATCTTAAAAACGTGTATTCGCTCGTCTATTGATTAAAACAAAATTTAGTATAAACAAATAATAATCCTTAAGGGTCGCCAGTAATAATTAATAAAAAAAACTCTCCTCAAAGTTAAAAGTCGACCAGACTGGCAATAATTTATTATAAAAAAATTAAAAAAAATTTAGTATATATAAAAAGGCCAACTAGTCGCGCCAAAGCGCACTCGATCGTTTTCTTGAAACGATTCATAAATTCACGAAAGAACGACGGGGCGCCAGGACATAAGGGCGCGTGTCGTATCGGAAGTGAAGACGCATCGCTGCAACGACACGTGAGAGAGAAGGTGGGGTCTAATGGGGTGCCGACGATTTCGCGAGGGCGAGGGCTGCGCCCCCGAGAAGTCAAACAGGCTCCCGGGCCGTGGGAAGCATAAGTCACAAGCCTCCGGCGATAATTGTATTTGTAAACATTGGAAGTTTACTGATAGGAAGAAGCGCGCCGCGAGATAGATTCGATTATCTCGATATCGCGAGATGTCGCAGTAATTATATATCTCCGATCCAGTTTCGCGAACTCTCGTTATATACGAAACATTTATATCGAGAGATACAAAAGTCTCTTTAAATGTTTATTAATCATTATTAATCATATTATCCTCGAGTACGACATATCCATGTTAATATAAATCCATATTCAAAAAAAAAAAAAATGAAATCTTAAATCGAGAGAAATTTTATCTCGAGTGAATTTTGCATCGACTTTTTAATATAATATATTATTCATAACATGATATAATAACGCTAAATCCATATTCAAAAATTGCGTACTCTAATGTATCAAATAAAGATATCGATGTTGCGCGTATCCTGATGTTATATATATATATATAAAAGAGCAAGTACATGTATATATGAGCACATATCTTCCTAAATACGTCGCACAAGCTACATATAATATTACGCGAAGATATATTATATTATATACATATACACGGCGCTTGGGAATCACATGCGTGTATATGTATGTATATGTGTATATAGACATTAGCTAGCCCCCGATTCCCTCTGGGTGTTTGCTCGCCCGGTTGAAATGTTCGACGATACGTTTGTTCAATGCTGCTCGACGCTGAATTACACGTATCGTGCCGTCGCGAATTTTGCGCGAATGTAAACTGCGAGCCCGATGTTTTCTCTCTCTCTCTCTCTCTTCTCTCGTGCGTTTAACGTCGAAGAGAAGTCAAATACACGGGGTATCCGATTTTTGCCCCCGTCTATTATAATAATGACGTCGGTCGCAGAGAGATACATCGGGTATCGATAGCGACGTTAATAAGCGCGCGCGCGACGTTGAGGAAAGAAGAAGATGAAGCTGAAGAAGGAAAAAGAAGAAGCGAGAGCAATCGCGCCGCTGGCTTAATATAAAGTGCTTACTCGCGTAATCCGATATCGATGATCGTCGACAAACGCCCGTGTTGATTCTTCCCGCTCTCTCTATCTTAAGCTATATAGTTAAAAAAGAAGCCTTGCCCGGCGGGCGCGACTTCTCGCCGGTTTTTAATAAAGGACCAATATCGGCGCCCAGGGTTACATCGTCGCGATGATTGAAAATTGCGCGATTACGTAGCGCGTAAAAAAAAAAAAAAAAAAAAAAAGAGAGAGAAAAATGCATGGGGCGAAAAATAATTTTTGCCGAAAACGTCGCGGATCGTCGAAAACCAGGGAAAACCGCAACGCGCGTGGAAAGTGTCGATGACTAATTAAAGATGCACGTGCGGTGTATAAACGCGTTACATACCTATTGATTCGCCGATGGCGGCGATTAACATCGAGCGAGTTAAACGGAACAGCCGATGAATTAATTCTTCCTTCGCTCTGCGAACCTTCCTGATGATGTGACGCGTAAATTGCACCCTCCTCGATCTGTTTCACCTCGTTTCGGTTTGATTTTCCCCGGTATATTATTCATTTTCTTATAGTTGTCATAAACTGGTGTTACTCATATGTAATCCGATCTTATATTTAAGATCAAGTCTCAAGTTCGAGCTTGAGATGTCACACTGAAAAAAATCCATGTACTTTTACATGGAAATTACTATAAGCTTTGTTTCCATATTTTTTTTTAGTGAAAATACATATTAATGTATAAATATATGGGTAAAGTTACTATTTTTATACAAAAATCACTGGTAATCTTAAATTTAGTATTTTTACTTTTATTAGAACTTTATTTTATATACATATAAGCACTTATACATTTTATTTATAACATTATTTTATAGCATATAATATAAGAATAGATTTGATATGAAATTACATATAATAATCTGTAATCTTTCATATGAGTAGCAAAATATTGCATGATTATGCTGGGTCGAAAAAACCCAGCCATTTGAATGGGATCTTAAGTCAACCATCGAGCAAACTTAAGATGACTTTAAATATAAAATCGGACTACACCTGCCGCAGAAGCGTCGAGAAGATGCGATATCTCGAGGAAGAGAGGAGGAGATTTTCCAACCAATTTCGAGGCCGAATCGACGCGCGCGAAACACTTCCTATACATGATTTCGCGGTGATTTCAGCGGAGATTGACATCCCTCCAATCCCGTTTAGCGAATTTCCAAACCCGGATTTATTTATCCACGGATGAATTACCGCATGTCGAGACGCGGTTAAATAATTTCGCGACTGTCAAGACGGATCGCAAGTAAATCGAACGAAGAGAACAAATGTCAAAGATTGGGACTTACTTGACATCTGGTGAAACTCGGGTACGTACTGTTCGCTGTCTTCGGTCTCGGAGCTGCTACCTGCGCGAACAGACATTTAATTAGTTCGTATCAGCGATCATCTCAGGATAGAAATGACTAGAACCGATGTGAAATAAAAATCCCACTCGCGAATATTTAACGAGAATTTCTATTTTCCCTTCCATAGCAAATCATCCCCCTTTGATCGTCCGTTACGTTACATCCACCGCGTATTACATCGCAGTTGGGCAAGGTAATTAAAATTAATGTTCCGAGAGAACAGTGTGGCTGCACGTAATTATCTTTGCTGGGGCGGCTTAGGGATAATTTGATGCTACATCTCTAAATTCTAAAAATCAATAGCAGGATTTCTTCGTAATAGCGATTTTAATAACACTCCGATTTTTAATATCTCGTCATTATTATTTTACAAAAAATGCTATTATTAATGATGCGAAAGAATTATTCAATATCATTTCGTCATCTCGTGTTGACAATTTAACTACTTAACTTGTACATTTATAAAAAAATTCTCCATTATTTGGTCCTCGATATAACGATGACATAACACTGCATTCCCGCGAAAATTTAGAGCAAAAGAAAAAAAAATGCGCCCGAACAGGGACTCGAACCCTGGACCCTCAGATTAAAAGTCTGATGCTCTACCGACTGAGCTATCCGGGCTGATAGTTTCCGTTGCATTAAACGTGTATTCGAAGCAAACTCATACACAACGCGAGAGAAGGGAGAAATAATTAAATTGTTATTATAATGTAAATTATTATAACAAAATAAAATTTGAAATGAAATACTCACCATCTTGCAGCCAAGTTTCCTGCCTGTAGCCTTGCTGCATGTATAATTCGCTTCCTGTAATCAATAAATTTTCTCCGAATTAACATGTGTATGTGTGTATATATGAAATAATATAGTTGCGTTATTGATCGCAAGATAAAATAAACAAAGGGCAAGAGAAAACGCAAATACATTTGTTTGGCTACGCTGGACGTTGAACAGTATTTGCCGCAAATTGACAGAACACGTCACGTGCTTCCGTTGTTTTTGATTAATTATTGATATGTACATATGTATATGTATATACACAATGTATATTCAACGTGGAAAAAAAATATTTTTTTCATACTCGACACGTTGGCTGGATGAGGGAGATGAATATTTTGATAGCCTCAAGATAAAAAAGAGATACATCTTATTCGAATCGAGGTCGACGAGATCTGCGGGAAGACAAACCGAGCAACCAACCGGCTGCGAATGAATCAGAGGCAAAAACAAACCCTTCAGCGTGAATGGGCGCATATAAGAATGCCGGCGTGGAAAACTGGGGTGCGTTTAATGGACCTCCAGGATTCGCCATGGGTAGCCACTCGGCGGTAACCTCGTTTTGTTCTCCATCGCAGAATCCAGTCTAACGCGAATCGAATCTACTTACTATACAGCTCATTGCTCGCGTTGTACAAAGAGACACTATCCTCTGCGATAGATACTTCAAGGATTCGCAATGTCTTCGTATGTCGGACCGAAATACGTACGTCTAAATATATGTACGTGTAACATGATTTTATGTCATCGTCGAGAGCTACAAATTTATTTATAATATTCAATTGCCGAATGATGGATATTATCACAGATGCAAAATTCTTGTGTGTATTTGTTTCATATTTAAGAAAAAATTATTTAAAACAATATTAAAGAATTTATTTAATATAATAAATATAATAAAAACTATATTTTAACTAATAAAAATTGATAATAATTACGTCTAAATATATGTATGTGTAACATGATTTTATGTCATCGTCGAGAGCTACAAATTTATTTATAATGTTCAATTGCCGAATGATGGATATTATCACAGATGGAAAATTCTTGCGTGTATTTGTTTCATATTTAAGAAAAAATTATTTAAAACAATATTAAAGAATTTATTTAATATAATAAATATAATAAAAACTTTATTTTAACTAATAAAAATTGATAATAATTAGCATTAGTAGATCATAATTAGTGCATTCGTTACTTGTTTAATAAGCTAATCAATGCGACTTGTAATCAGGATTCTTAAAGTTTGAAAGCTTTTCTCTTTTATGAATTACATAATTTAAATAGTGAAATATCTTTTTTGTCATAATATTATATTATAAATATACTTTTAAATATGAAAATTTATTTCATTTTTGTTTTCATCCTTTTCACCATCAAATTTATTATGTTTCTAGATTTTATTTTAGACTAATTATATTTAGACCTTATTTTGTTGCACATTTTAATAAAAGCTTTAAATAAATGATAGTATGTGTTGTGCGCTTATGTGTATTTACACACGGAGAGAATTTTCTCTTAGAATTTACTCCGAAAATCATGGTAATCGTGGGACAATTAGTATTGAAAGAATTTTATAAAAATTTCTCTGATTAAATATTTACCACTGTAAAAAATATTAATAAAATTAATCAAACTTATTTTATATCTTACTGGGGTAGATATTAATTTTTTTTTATTGTGGCACAATAAATATTAATCAGAGAAACTCATAAAATTCTTCCAATACTATACCATATTGTCCTAAGATTACCATAATTTTCAGGAAAAATTCGTTCTACGCACGCATATAAATTTTTATTTAAATGTATACAATCAATAATATTATACAATTCTCCATATAGACATATCCACGTAGATTAAAATCATTGAAATAAAATTAATAAGACGGGAGAGATATATAAAATGTATAGAATGAATAATTGCTAAAATTTGTGTAAACGTTGCTTCATCATGCTTGAAACGAAGCTGGTTCCATCAGATACGCGGTGAAAAAAGACGAACGAAGAAACGGGGAGGCAAGCAACAATATATTTCCATCCGTCATCTGCGCAGAGTTTCAATATTTCTGAATCGTCGTCGAAAAGTGGATCGAGCCGATGGAGGGGACGTAACGCGATTATGATAGAGAAATTGCGGCATTATAGGCAGTGATTGAGTTAGGCGGAGGTGGTCTATCCGGTGGCTCCGGCATGCCAATGCTAGATATAAAGTGTCAATCACCGCAGCCAGACGTCGACCGGGGTGGTTCGGCGACTTGGGGGTACAACACGAGACCAGGAGGAGAGGTTCCACTGTGGGGACACCCCAGGGGACTCTTTGCGGCGATAATACACGTCACTTATTGAATTTCGTGTCGAGAAATTGGCGTCGCATTTCTGGGTCAAGGCTAAGACACTCGTCCGGAAGAAGAGGCATCTTCGCGCCGGAGAAGAGATGGTGTGAATTAATCGAGAATAAAATTTGCAGATATTTTTCTCGTCCTCTGAAATCGCTTTACGAGCTCCTTATTCCATTCGTGCTTCGTCAAGCGAGATAACCCGGAGGACATTTGTCCAAGAAATTCGAATGTCTTCTGAATATCCTCTCAACATTTTTCGGATATGTTGAGCCGTCAGGGACAAATGACTGAATATAAAAAAATACCCGAAGATATAATAATTGTGTGATCTTCGTATCGAACCAGTTTCATTTCAACCACGATGAAGCAACGTTTACACAAATTTTATCAATTATTCAGTCTATACATTTTATATATCTTTCCCGTCTTATTAATTTTATTTCAATGATTTTAATCTACGTGCATATGTATATATAGAGAATTATATAATATTATTGGACATATTTTCGGACCAATATTTTTCTCACCTATTTCTTTACAGGGAAAGTTAAGAGAGGAACAAGAGGAATTTCTGAGATCCCAACCATAGGATACAAATTCCTTAGTTTCCAAATTTTCTTTCTTAATTTTCGCAATAACATCGCTTGTGGCTCTATTGGCTAAGAGGAATGGAGTGTAGATCGTATAATATTATTGATTGTATACATTTAAATCAAAATTTGTCTATCATCGGTTGAGCCAAAAGAAGAACTCGTTTTTGGAAAAACGAGTATTTCGGAGTAATTGGCGAGGATTTCGAGGCAGATTGTCTCGAGCGATGTTTCACGACGGTGCAGACGCGTCTTCTCGCGACCTTTGGAAAATAATGTTGTCATCAAGCGAGATAACCCATTTGTCGAAGGAATGTCATCCTCTGTCGTTAAGAAATTCGATATTGTCTTCGTATCGATGGATCGTTTTTGGAAAAACGAGTATTTCTAATTGGCGAGGATTTCGAGGCAGATTGTCTCGAGCGATGTTTCACGACGATGCAGACGCGTCTTCTCGCGACCTTTGGAAAATAATGTTGTCATCAAGCGAGATTTTGTCGAGAAATTCGAATGATCCTCTCAACATGATATGTTGGGCCGTTAGACAAATAACTGAATATAAAAAATACCCGATAATTGTGTGATCTTCGTATCGATTTTTCTAGCATCGGTTGAGCCAAAAGGAGAACTCGTTTTTGGAAAAACGAGTATTTCGGAGTAATTGGCGAGGATTTCGAGGCAGATTGTCTCGAGCGATGTTTCACGACGATGCAGACGCGTCTTCTCGCGACCTTTGGAAAATAATGTTGTCATCAAGCGAGATAACCCGGAGGACATTTGTCGAAGAAATTCGAATGTCCTCTGGATCCTCTCAACATTTTTTGGATATGTTGGGCCGTTAGGGACAAATAACTGAATATAAAAAAATACCCGATAATTGTGTGATCTTCGTATCGATTTTTCTAGCATCGGTTGAGCCAAAAGGAGAACTCGTTTTTGGAAAAACGAGTATTTCGGAGTAATTGGCGAAGATTTCGAGGCAGATTGTCTCGAGCGATGTTTCACGACGATGCAGACGCGTCTTCTCGCGACCTTTGGAAAATAATGTTGTCGTTGATGCGACTATATAAAGATATCGACTCGGCTGCCTGCGAGTGACAGCTCTCTTCGGGTGGTATAGCTCCACCCTGCCGTCTCTCCTTGCTGGTGCTTCGTTTCGGGGTACGCGTCCCGCACGTGTTCCTAAACGTGCCTACCCCCTCGCTATGTGTGCGCTCTTCTCGGGATCTACACAGCGGCTTGAGTGTGTATCGAAGGCCTCGCCCCCGATGGAAACGCGACGTCTCCGAGCCGCGACGGTATCAAAGAGCTTCAAAGTCGAACGACCGGGGAAATCGAAGAATCGACCGGTCTCTCTGCCCGCTCACCTTTTTCCCTTGATTACATCCTCGGAGGCTTGTTAAGACGTAAAATAGTTTTGCAGCCCGTGGATGCCTTTCTTATTTTTTTTTTATAATTTTTTCGAAAAAAAGACCTCGAGTGTGACGCGCTCTAGACTCGCGCCTATGTTCCTCTCCGCTGATATAATTGAAATATTCAGAGATCGAGTTCCAAAATCTTTTTTCATTCTACTCACCGGTGTGCAGCTTTTCATTGTTCCCAGTCGTGTGAGACACTGGATAATTGCCGGGACAGTATTCCCCGGTGACCGTCTGAAGTGGCTCGGCTAGTCTGCCGAATCCGTTTCCGGGCTGGAACAATCGAAAGAAGAGAGAGTTGCATAACATTTTCCAAATTTAGTAATACTTGTTATACGCGACAATTTTTGAGACACGTGTATATTTCGAAAATAAATCGCAACGTCGAGCGAGAGCGAGTGAAAGAGAATGTAATTAATATCAGAAAGTGATTGTGAGGCTCGGGGCTCTCAATATAGGAGCAGAAGGAAAGACACAGTGAGAAATAGAGGGAGACGGGTAAGAGAGAGGCGGCAAGGAAGACATCCGGTGAACGATTGGACGGTTTCCTCCTTGCGGGGCAATCTAGTGGTAAACTCAGTTACCGGTTTTGGGAATTTCGATAACGTAGACGTTCGGGCCTTTGACTCCATCAAATTTGACTACACCAACTGCGGGAATACAAATCGTTGAAAAAGTTACGTTATTATTTTTAAAAAAATATCTCTCCATTACGCAGAAATGAAGTTAATATAAAGGGATAAAGTAATGAAGAGACAGAAATGTGTGTATGCGCCGTAAGATTGTCCCTTATTGAATAAACGAGCGCATTTTTAATATATAGGATATATTGATATTAACGAGTATCCGGCGGACTCACGCTGCTCCAAAGTTCCATTATTTGTTCATAATTTCTCCTCGAGATTTTCCTTTGATCGCAATTAATCGTCGTCCGCAATTAGCTGCCGTGATGGCATGGCGCCCATAATCCACGCGCTTGGACATAAATTTTAATTACATTCACTATTACCGCCTTAAATGTTTAATACGCCTGCCAATCCGTTATACATACATATATTTACTGATGCAAAAATGCCGGACGCTGATGAAGAATTTCCATTGTCCATAAATAAATAAACAAACACGTCCTACAATTAAGCGTTAAATTATTAGAAATCAAATTTCGAAAGTATTCAAACAATTGTAGAGAAAAAAAATCGATCTATAATATGTGCGATATAAATTTATTTAAATATTTCACATCACATATAAACACGGAAGTAACATCTTTTTGATTATACGAGATCAAGATGAACTTTTAGAAATCGTTGATCTTTCGTCGGGGCTTCCAACGGGATTTAACAGCGAATTAATCGGGAAATGACGCGTGAGCGGGAAGCGCAAACACGAGGAGTGCGCGCACACCATTTGACGTTAAAGGCCCGAGACTTGACCTTTTTCCCAGAGGACGGATGCGCGTTTTAGGCGAATGCATTCGGCACGCGAGTTTATTTACGGCGCGTCTCTCATGAAAACGAGATAGATACCCACGACGAGTCGAGGGTACGCCCCGTCGTTCGCGACAGGGGTCGCCGCGACGGCACCCCATTTCACGTTCTCCACCCTCGTGTAGTAATTGCGCACTTTGGTTCGGTTTATAATAAAGTCATCGAGAGCATCGCGAAACTGTATCCCCGGCGCGGCGGATCGGGAAGCAGGAATTTAGATGCGTGCTCTCTTAAATCGGTGTATTATCACTGAAAAGCAGTGAAGTCACTGATGCTCGCAATCGCAAGTATAGACACTGAAAATCAATAAAATCTTATTGAAAGAATCAGTTTAGCGGCGGCGGCTGTTTCAATCTGTGATATTTTAAAAATAGCCAGATTTTTTGTTAAAGAAAGATCTGAGGTGATCAAGAATCTTATTCATTTTTGTAGGTTTATCTCATTTAAAAATAAATAATATAGAATTCTAAATAGATAGAAAAATGTTTAAGATATATCTTGCTGATATATTATTACTGATTTTTCAATAAAGCTGCCATAATAATCAGTGAGAAGCAAAGTATTGTCGAGATAAAAATTTCGGAGAATTTTACAAAAATTACGAAACAAGCACAATATTTTTAACGAAATGCACATTTCGCGCCAAGTGTTCTATTTCGGCCAATAGACAGATAAAAGCCGGCGAAGTTTCCTCCGCTAATTATGTGCCGATAATGACAGCGACGGTCAATTTTATCAATTACACGCGAGAGAAACCCCGTTGTACTTTGCCAAGAAAGTTTTCCTACCCTCATGCGGCGACGAGGTGCGAAGACAATAACAGCGACGGACACTGGAAGGCGGACAATGCCTGGCGAGAGGAAACATTATATAGAAGAGATCTCGAGATTAAAGAACGCGTCACACAACGGCCGAGTTTATCAGCTAATTGCTTTTCTCAATGCATCGCAAAAATCACGCTATGGAGAGAGATCGAGATCAAAATTTTTGCTTTTTCGTCAATTTTGCGCCAACTAAGCCTGCGACAATATGAGAGAATAGTTTGCGGCAAATATATATTTTTAATAATAAATATATATTTTAAATGTATATTTTTATCAAGATAAATATATATTTTTTATTTTTACTATATATATATACTATTGATTTTTAAGGGTTCTAATAATTTAATCACTGGCGGATCCTAGGGTGGTTTTAGAGATAACTCCCTCCTAAATTAAAAGAAATGATTGCAATCCGACTTGAAAAAATATTGTTACCATTACGCCAAATAATTTTGTAGAAATCTCCTTCCTTCCCATTATCGACTTAGGATTCGCTAGTGAATCCAATTAATTTATATTCATTATAATAGAGAAGGTAAATGCAATATGAACATTCGCGTACACGGAGAATTTTTTCTTAGAATTTACTCTGGAAATCATGGTATAATATAAAATATATAAATATAATATAAATATAAAATATTATATGTACATTAATAGAATTATCAAACATATTTTATTGTGGTAAAAATATTAATCGGAGAAACTCTTAAAAAAATCTTCCAATACCACGATGTCTCACGATACCATAATTTTCAGGGTAAATTCTAAGAGAAAATTCTCTGTGTTAAAATAAATGGAGACAATTATAAACCTTAAATGTAAAATGTTGAAAGGAATCTAAATCCAACTAAAAGGATTATATAAAAATACGCAATATCATTAGCTGGGCCAATTTCATGGAGAAGTCAATCAAGGTGAGCAGCGGAAATCCCGCAGCATGTCCCATCCCCGAGGAAGTCTCGCCCCTAATCATGGGAAACTCGAGTGGCGACATATGCTACCTCGCGGCAGTCAATTAAACGGCGCCGCCGATTCGACGAGGGGTACAAGAGAGAGAGAGGAAGAAGCGCGTGTGTGGGAATCGGCTGATTTTTAGAATCAACAAACATAAATCAAGTGCGAACCATCCCTTCCACGCGCGCGCGTGCCATTGACCACCCATGGATTCTGGTATCGTGTCGTGTCGTCACGGTGGTGGCACGTATACGCACGCAGGGAATATAACGGCGACAATTACGTGTTTAGAGGACACAGAAGGGGTGGTACCCGTGGGACGAGTCAGCGAAGCGTGGAGGCGCGTGCCGCGGCAATTCGGATCATCTCTCGAGTAGTCGTATTGTACGCAAGATGATGATCCTGGAGCTCGATGCCGAGGATGACTCCATTGTGTCCCGGGAACGGCCGGGAGAGATCGGATATCCGGATCGAACGCGCTCTCTTTTAATGGATCTTCAACACTTTTGCACGACGCCTATGCGAGTCCGGATTGTTCTTTTTAACTTTTAACAAATAGATTTGGGAGATAGAGAGATGATAAAGTGCGGCGGAAAGAATATCCATTAAATTTATATCAAATCTTTACAATTAATTATTGATCGCCAGTGATAGAATTTTAACAAATAATAAGATGCAATTTAATTTGGTGACCAAAAACTGGCTATTTATTTATTGGAAATAAGTACACACTACGTTTCGACCCACATTGTGGTCCTTTTCAAGTGTTGTTCTTATTCAGTAATTACATTAATTAAAAATACTACTGTCACAGTAGCTAACAGATTGTCGATATGACAGGACAACTTTCATGTTTCTATTTTTAATTAATGTAATTGCCGAACAAGACTTGAAAAGGACCACAATGTGGGTCGAAACATAGTGTGTACTTATTTTCAATAAATGAATAGCCAGTTTTTGGTCGAATTAAATTGCATCTATTGTTAAAATTTATATCATGTATACACACTAACACCCCCATTTCATCTTATTCTCTTGTTCAGTCTGTCTTTATGTTACAAAATGGACTTTATTATTTTCATTTTGAGTTGGGTTTTTGGAAAATTCGTCCTGACACGAAGTATCTAAAATGAATATCGAAGAGATTTCACAATATATAATTCCGATTGTATTACATATCACTGTAATTAATTTGAATGTAATTTTTTGAATGACTCATATCTTGTTACTAATGTTATTTCAAATTATTTCATGACGTTATAAAAATTCTTACACGCAACGCTATCAAGATAAAAATGAAAAAAATTAATTGCTTAATTTTTTAATCAATCTGTCTATAGTTGCGATATATTTCTATACTTATTGATCTAATGCATTATAAAATAAAATCTTTTTTACTGACAGCGATGAGTTTATTTATATAGATATCTAACTTCTCGCTTTGGCGCGCATAAACAAATAAAGTCAATTGTCTCAATTTTTAAATTAAAGAATAATTTTTTCTACCGATCACAATAAACTCGTTAATCGCATATATTACAGATAGAGCTCTTATCGGCCGTATTAATGTTGCAAAGAAAGATTAAAATAAATGTTCAACTACTTACTAAGCCCGCCAATTCCGTCGTCGCGGCAGGCACCTCCTGATCGGCAATGTTCATCATAATTTCGCGACACGTCCCGTTCTTATGAAACGTAAAACCTTTCACTGAAGACGAGCAGATTCGCGGATTCGACTGGAAAAAAAAAATCGCGGAACCGAGTTCGCGCGAGCCACGAACGAGCCGATCGTCGCTGCTGGTGTTGCGGCGCGAAGATCGAAGATAGCACTGAATCGGGTGATTTGATCTCGATGCGAGTAAGGGGGTGAGCCACCCTCGCGGCCGGAGCCGAGGGTTGTGTCTCCGGCGAGGTATACGCCCCCAAACGTGACGTAGAATTCGGTCCTGCGCGTATTTCGTTTCCTCGGACCATTGCAAAGGGGTGCTGGGCGGAGCTTGAAACTCATTGGCGACACACACGTTCGAGATACGAGGGATGACGTTACGAGGGATGATGCATCTCTCGCGAGAGAGAGCGGTGAGGTTCTCCAGCGAGTTTCGCAAACTCGATTCGATCGCCATCGAGATATTCGCGCGGCACGTCCAATAAAACTTCAAGTCACCCCGAACAAATGCACGGATTCTATAGCGATCCGTGAGAAAAAAGTTATGAAGGAAAAATTTCACTCTTCGCAGAAGCGAGAACAGCTTTGTACATTTAGCAAAATTGTTGAGAAAATGTGCTATGTCTAAGCTGCGATAAATTCGCGGAGTTAACTGATCAGAAAATGATTATAGCAAAATGTAAGAATCAGATTTATATTTCTTTTTCTTCCGTTTTAGGTACTCCATCTCAATAATGATAGGAGGAACAAAGTTATATCTAGAAGAAATTATGCAAAAAATTGTAGTTTCTATTCATTGATCTCTCTCATGACAATAAAACATTCCAATTAAATAGATAATTTTAGAATTAATTAATAATTGATATAATCTTATTTTAATATGTGTATATAATTATTAAATTAAAGCCATTTATATTATATTCGTTTTCACAGGAAAATAATTATTGCTCCGAAATGTTTGTCTGCAATCATGTTTCTTCTTTTTTTTTTTTTTAATATAAATTTACTTACTATAATTATACAAGTCGGCAAATATATTCGTTATCCAATAGACGTTATCATACCGCCTTATACATCTGTTGATAAAGGTAAAACATAACACTTGGCATTCAAGATTCCCGCCAAGATGTCACCACCGGAAAAAGATACACGCGTGCGTGTTTGCTTAATGTGTGGCCCTTTTTCATGGCTTTTGCTATCTCAAATAATTTTCCACGTAGTCACGTTTCGAAATCACGAGTGATTTTCAACAAAATGAGTTCGCATTGTAGAATATATTGAATCAATTAACGTGACACGTGACAGCACAACTGACGTATCGATCATGTTATAAACATCAACGATTATTTCTGGCCGTATGGAGAGACGAATATTTAGGAGGAAATTTCAGAGGAAATTATCACAAGGATATATTACATCATTGTAAGTAACGATAGATTTTGTAAATGACTTGCACCTTTGTCTGCATATTTATTAGACTGATAACGATGTCGATATGTCAAATACTTGTTATTGATAGCGCTTCAAAAATTATTAGCCGTAAAATTACATGTAACACACTAGCGAGATTAGATTTCGATAGAAATCGAGAAAGAGTTACTCAATTAATTATTGTTTATAATTATAAGATTGGTATGATATAAATATTTATGTAGAAAATTTCGGAGCAACAAATTGGTAACGTCTAACATTGCATTTCGAACATACAGTTGTGCATTGAATATTATTAATTGTTATTGTCTCTTTCGTTAGTTATTTATTATCTCACGTATAAATATACGTTAAATTATTCTACGCAATTTTTATTATGTTCGTTTTTTAATCGATCGACTCTGAAATGTCACTTTAACGTTGCGCAATTGACATAACGACATAGTACATTAAAGACGCATTTACGTACAAAAGAACGTTTTAAGTTATCTATAATCTCAAAGGCTAAAATCAAAATTTGAATTTGTAACATATATATACGTGTGCGTATATGTGATAATATTAGAAGGGGTACAATATCCAAAAAGGTTCTTTTTGAGGTTAGGATAACCTAATTTCTTAACTGTGAAAGCTGGTTTTCCTGATAATCGAATAATAATATCTGTAATTTTAGACCGATCCTTCTTATTGTAAATAATATTGATTTATTTACAGATTTCATGAAATTTTGGGTGTAAATGCTCATAATATATCGATGAGATATGCGGCATCAAATTGGAGCAAATCCTCTGCGAACCTCTCAGTTTGATTTATCTATCGTTACGAACTACAATATTTGCGCTTATCCGAGAGATGTCCGCGGTAGAGGCAACACCGTTCATCCGCACCATCGAGTGGGACATGATGGACAAAACCAAGTTCTTTCCACTCAGCATGCTGTCCTCGTTCTCGGTCAGATGCTGTCTGTATCCTCTGACAGTGATCAAGACTCGGCTTCAAGTGCAGAGACAAAATCACATGTACAATGGTACGCGCTAATTGATTTTGATATCGAATCGATTTTACCATTTGTTAGAAACAATAATATCTCTGCCTATTCCCACAAATGCGATCAACTAACGTTGATTTTCTTATATCCACGATATAGGGATGGTAGACGCGTGTAGAAAAATTTATAAACTCGAAGGCATCGCGGGCCTCTATAGAGGCTTCTGGATCAGCTCCATCCAAATCGTTTCCGGAGTGTTTTACGTGTCGACGTACGAGGGTGTGCGTCATTTGCTGAAGCAAGATACACCACTCGGAAGTGTCGACTCGAAGGTTAAAGCGTTAATCGCTGGCGGTTGTGCTAGTTTGGTAGGACAAACAATCGTCGTCCCCTTCGATGTTCTCAGTCAACATCTAATGGTTCTCGGGATCAATAGTACTAAACACGGCAGGGTGTACGTGGATAAGGTGAGATTTCTGTATACCTTTGTTAATTGAAAGATTAATCGTGTTAATACCTCTCTTCGCAGATGGGAATGAATCCGTTGGGTTTGACCCTCGAACCCGGAAAAACCCGCGCGCAAATCTCCGCCGAAATAATAAGATTGATTTATCAGAGAGATGGTTATCGCGGCTTCTATCGGGGATACATGGCATCTTTGTGCGCGTATGTTCCTAACAGCGCCCTTTGGTGGGGATTGTACACGGTTTATCAAGGTAAGCGTACTTCGCACAGGGTGTATACTCAAATCTTTGAAATAAATTCCCTGAGGATTCCATGATTTTCCAGGTATTTTGTTCAAAATTCCAGGCCAAATTTAAGTATTTTAAATAATATTTAGAATACAATTTGAAATAAGTTTATCTGTTATACATAATTTTTTAACATAAATGATAAGTATTTTTTAAATATAATATAATGTAATATAGTATTACATATATTATAATGAAATATATTTTATAATATATACTTTATATAAAAGTAATAAATTTTACATTTTTTAAAACTATATTTTAGAACTAAAGAGGCAATTTAAAAAAAATTCCAGGATTTTTCAAGGTAGAACAAAATTTTCTGAGAATTCCAGGTTTTCCAGGGAGTATACATCCTGTTCGCACCTTCTAAGCAAATCACACGGATAAAAAGAATGATGACTAATTTGTTGTATTTTCTTTTTTGCGCAGACGAACTTATAAGGCTGCTCCCGGGATGGTTTTCGCATCTGTGTATACAGGCGATGGCGGGCACCCTGGGAGGTTTTACGACCACGATAATCACGAACCCCTTGGACATCGTGAGGGCGAGATTGCAAGTGCAACGATTAGACAGTATGTTAAGTGCGTTCAGGATACTGTGGATCGAGGAAGGACTGCTTATGTTCACCAAAGGACTCTCCGCGAGACTTGTACAATCTGCGTGCTTCAGTTTCTCGATAATTCTAGGATACGAGACCATCAAGAGAGTGAGCATAACCGAGGAGTACAAGAGTTATATTCGGTGGTGAGCTTCAGAGTTACTATTAATTACGATTAATTTCACACGGACGGAATTGACGTGCATTCCATCCGAAATTTTTTATACAATCACGACGCGCCGTTATGTATCGCACTTTTTACGCATCAAACAAAAAAAGAAAGTGAGTCATTATTCTATTAATATATTTATTAGTGATAAAAATGTCTTATAAAAAAAGTCATCTTCTGAAGTAAAAAAAAATTTTCGACTATACAAAAAGAATGTTATTCATGACATTAAGTTACAGAACGTTTCTGCGTAGCTCTATCCAAGTTATCTTAATTATATTCGAATAAATAAAAATAATTGTATTGTACAATCATGTATGCGTGCGTTTCACGTCATTGTTAAAACTCACGCATTGCAATTGGATACATTATACGGTCTTATATAGAGAAAGAAACTTTGAAAAGAGACTTTGGTGTACATAAAACTATGACTCCGAATCTAAGATCCAGAATTCTGCGAAACAGTGGCAATTAGACAAGTTATTTATGTAAATGTAATGAAGCGCATTTTGTACGCTATCGTTATGGTGTCAGATGGAGTACAAAAAACTTTGTAACATGTATTAGATATGTTACTGTGATACAAATATAATATAAAAATATGCCCCCATTCGTATTTTAAAGACGGCTTGTATATTAGATACGTGTTCGCGTTTGTATCGCATCGCGTGCGAGATGTATTAACGATATATTACAATGTATAGATACATTATCCTAGTCAAATATGGGCATGTAATGTATGCGCACGTATTATATATAATATATATATATGTTATATATGTATATAATATATATCGGCCGTCCTAAAAATACGAATTTAGTATGTAATATTTGAATCGAATGAATTATTTAGCTCTAAGAGACATGAAATATCGATAGACAAGATACTGTAAAGAAAAGCAAGAAACACGATTATTTAATATTACCACCCATATAATGTTTATGTACATACGGAAAAATCATCTGATACAAATCTGACGAGAGAATGCGAAATAAATTTTATCACATGTATTAAATTGCGCGCAGCCGCTTATTTCCCTCTTGAAAAAGGACCGTGTCTTTCCCATGCGATTCCAATTTTTTACTTGAATATAAATAGCTCTTTTAATTTAATTACCGCGCGTGACTACGAAATGACTTCTCTTCGTTGCGATGCGAGCGCAACGGGGCAAATTAGCGCGCGCAGCTTTGAAATTAACTCGCCCGATATGCAAATCGGGGAGGTTGAACGAACCTAAACGTGCGAATATAGACAAAGACCGGCGCGGCGCGTTCTCCTCGCGTTCCTATTCTACGAGTGAACGATGCATCGATTGGTATGCACCGCGGAGTAAATCGCCCTGACATCTCCCCGATGCCTGGGCGCCAGATTGGCGCTGCAATTTTTCCTATGCCGGGCTCTAAGGATGCATGAATTATTATTCCAGGGCCGAGCTAACGCCTTCTCGTCGGCCAATTAATCCGAGATCCAAGTCGAAGCGCGACCTTCGCGCGAGCGCGAATGCGAAAGTTATAATTGCATAATTGCGCGCATGCATAAATGCAACGCGTCACGTCGAACGTTAAATGTCAGAAGACCGAAGTACGGCTGAAGTTGATTCTGCAATACTCTCTTTATCCCGCGGTCACAATTAAGATCAATCGTATTTGTATATCATCATTCAAATTAATCGAGAAAATATCGCCGTAAAAAGTATATTATTATTTACATTTACGAGACTCTGATATATGAACGAGACGTCTAGTTATCTCTATCGTTTGCATGTACATCTTCTTTTTTATGTAAAATTGCTTGCCTTTTTGTTTGTTGCGCATGATAATTCATCAACACGCGGTTTAGAATATAAGATTTTATCTGTTGTGTTGCGGCAAGTTGTTGCAGCCATCTATCGTAGCATCAATGCATCGTACAACTTTACAGCTCGCATTTCTCTTATCCACGGGGTATAGCTTATCATTCAGTCTGTCGGAAGCTATTCTCTATCGTACCGATAAATTTTAGTATATATACAATTTTCATCGCCAGATGCTCGTGCAATGTGTATTTCAAGATTTTACAATTCATATTTTTATTCCTTTTGCAACAGATAATTAAAAACTTTGCTCTCGATAAATCCAAACTCACGGATGCGAATCTTGCAATAGCCGAGCAAACAGCGACCCTAGCCGAGCAAACATCAAGCAGAAACGGAGAGCGTTCGTTGCTTCCCTATTTTCAGCAAGATCAAACATTCGCGGCGAATCGGCGCGGTGTAAAGGGAAAGAGAATATTATTCGGAGAACGATGGCACCGCAAACGAACAAGGTCTTCTCTCGTTCTTTGAGGATTCGTCGGTAGCGCCGAAGCGGGTCTCAAGAAGATCTCGCAAACCTTCTTTTTATATTTGACAAAGAGATCAAGATGAACCTTCTTTTTATTCTCGAGATTTCCAAATGACACTTATACTGCCGGATGATCAATGACCGCTCGTGTATTTTATGCTACCACAACGATTTTTCCAGAGGGAAACATTTTTCAAGAGTAAAAGAGTTTTGAAAAATCGCCTCGTTTCGCATGACTAATTTTCGCGCGCTTCTTCTTGAAAAAAAAAAAAAAAAAAAAAAGAGTAACAGAGAAGTCACGGCATGACTTGAGGAATTTGGATGCAAGATCCGCATCGTTAACCGAACTATCAAGATTCACAGGAAGAAGGAAAATACGGAACGCTCTCTCATTAGCGACGTTTGTCAGTCATCTCTCTCTCTCGGTGGCTCCTTTCTCGAAGCGACTCTCGCCTCATTTTCTAAGGACTATTCTCGCCTGCCTCATTATGTTTTGGCCGACGTGGGCAAAAACAAGCACGGCGATACGTGGAAGAGAATAGCTCGCGCGGAGAACGACGACCTTACGCGCCGAAATGTCGCTTCGCACCTAAAGTGTACTCGTTAGACACTCTAGGATTTTTTTCTTTATGCAATTATCGCTATAATCGTTTCCCCTTTATGTAAATTAACGCGTGGAAAATTGCCAGAATTTAATATTCGACACTCCTTTTTAAGCGAGTCGTATCGTTAGACTCTACCTAAATATTTTTAATATGCAAATTTACCAGATGCGAATATTACATATATAATATTAAAAAATTATGTCATTATAATTAAGTATCTATACTGAAAAAAAAAAGATCGGACAATATTCTTCCTGACAGATAAAAACGCGAAATGATTCAGCATCAGTGGAAGTTAATCGTCGGCGAAACCCTTCGCACCCTGTCACTTTTTCCTGGAAGCGAACCATTTTTAAATTCAAACACGAAGGGCAGACGATGACGCAGGGTTCTCCGTCGTCTAGCGATTTCGGGATGCGACGTTAATGTCACTTCCTCTTTCCGAGTAACGAAAGGGATCTCGCTCGAGGAAAAAGTACGCTTCTTATAGAGAACTATATTTCCGATCGCGAGACGTGAATCGTTCGAAAGTTTCACGTTAGATCTGTATCGAGAAAATTTTCAAGGATTATGCTAATAATGCAAAGTTATATCTTCCCTCTCGATTGGAAGACTCTCGATTTTTAAGTAAAATTCTCGCATCTCTAATTGGAAATTATGAACATCCTAGAAGTTATGGATCTATATCTTCTATCGAAAATACGACAAAAAATCACTTCTGTGAAGTTGGCCCTCATTTTTTAAAAAAAAAATGAGTTCAGAGTTCTGAATGCCCCCTCGAAGAGTTCTAGAGTTCATTAAAAAAAACTGTTGTAAAGTTAGCCCCCCGATTTTTCAAATGGTATTTTCGTTACTTTAAATAACAGAACTCTTAAATGGACTAAGAACTCTAGAACTCTTTAGAAGGCACTCAGAACTCTACACATTTTTTCAATTAAACAAAATGGGGAGTCAACTTCACAGAGTTGAAGATATCGGGATCTGAATAGCGTTTTAAATTGACACAGAATCTCGTTAACTCTAGTCGTCTCGCTTGATCGATTGTACATTACATAATGAGTTTTTTCTTTATTACGCGTGCAAGCGTTATTTTTAAACTTCACAAAATGTCATGTGCGCACGCCCGAGGGTTACGTTCTAAATCCGCGTACCGTGTAAATCATCGCGCTCACGCACGTGCGTGACTGCTCACGTGCCACGACCGGCTGTACTTAAGCGCCGCGCATGAGAGCCTCCTCCTCGGCCTGGACTTTTGATCGTTTTTCACGGTTTTTCTCCACGCTTATCCGCGGGCGGTTCACCATGACGTGCATCTGCATGCTCGGAGTAAAAAGCTGACGGTCTCATTACGCATTATTCTCCCGTTATTATCGTCACGGTTCTTGGCGCCGACAACCATTAATCGACAACCATCGATCGTTAATTAAATAATACTCGGTTGAAATATCAAGAGGCAAGAATCATCGAGTATTGAAAGGTAGAGACGCTTAAAGAGGAAATTCTCTCTCTTCTCTGAAAAGAACAAAAAATCCTTCGAAAAACGACGAAAAAAAAAACAATTCTACTTGAAGTTAAGCTGGCAGCTATATAACAACCTGTAATTTCGCAATCGCAACTATACCATAATGATACAATGTGGTGGAGTATATATCCCGTTTCGCGATTTTTCCGACTCGTGACGGAACGAGCCTCTCGTTCCTCGCCTCGAGTGCGTAACGCGTTTCCCGATGCGAAGCAGAACGACGAGAGGGATCAACTATGGGGAGGAGAGAAAGAGAGAAAAAGAATGATATATACAAGAACGACGAGATTCGCCCGCGGAACGATCTTCCGACAAGCACAGCGGTCACGAGGAGGAACAAAACCGCCTGGAAGAACGAAGATACAGGGTGCGCAACCGCGTAAGACGCGTGGCCGCGGGCACGCACGTGCGTGAGTACGATGATTTACGCGCGCGAACGCGAATTTAGACCGCAGTTAATGCGGGACCAACCCCTCGGCCAGCGCTGCTGCTGCTGGAAGAAACGGCGGATTAGTCGTGCGTTTCGCGCTCGCCCGCTTTCTGCTATACTTATCAGCGCGAGAATTGAGCGACGATTTCGAAACACGCGACGCAAATTGTAGAGAGATGCGTTGGCATTGCTTTAAGAACGCGGGTGCAGCAAAATCCGTGGGTTAAAATTATCTTTATAATAATCAGGTTGGGTAAGTTAATGATTTTTTTTAACTAAGTTAAGTTAAAGTTAGTTGCTTATAAAATTTATTTTGTTAAGTTAAAAGTTGCATGGACAAAAAATTAACTCCGTTAAAGTTAAGATTAATAACTGAAGTTAAAGCAAAAGTTAATTTTTAAAAACATTATTTATATTAATGATAAGATTTAGATAATAGTTTATAAAAAAATATATATATAAATGTCAAGAAGCGTGATTTTGCAGGAAATGATTTTTAAAAATTTAATGCTATTTTTGGCAAAAAATAATATGTTCAAAATATAAGACATAACATTTACTATAAAATTTTACAACAATGTTTAGGGAAAATAATCTATTTAAAAAAGTTAATGTTTCGCTCATTTTGAATGCTCCATTCCTCTTAAATACCTTATAAAAGAACTCGGACACGCAGTAGCGAGCATGGAATTCCTCTACAATCTCGTTAAAATAAAAGAACGTTAAATCCAAGAAAACTCGTTACTGTTCTTTACGAATCGACCAAAAGAAATCTCGCGCGTTTTACGTCTTCATTTTATATATTCGCTGCTCGTCTTGAACTCGCCGACTTATAACTTGTTGAAAACGCGGAATAGGTACCGTAATTCAAAGCGACAGAATCAAATGCGAGATCGCGCGCTTTCTCGCACCGGTCGGAGATGCTTCAAATCCGTCGCACAAAGCAGCGACTGAGAACTCGTGTCGTTCCTCTTGCAGCTTCTCTCGCAACCGCTTTTACCTCCGCCTTCGCGCTCAAAGGACGAAAATGGTGAGGCGGAGAGAAACAAGGGTGGACGGCTGGCAGAATGGAATGGAATCCGAGAGACGCACAAGAGCGAAACCTCCGTCGCTCGCAGGAGAAATACGAGCGGTGAG